TCAGTCTTCAGTTTCTGGGAGAAATTATATGGCCAGCCTGTGAACAGGAGTACCACAGTGATCCCTTTTGGGTTTGTAATTGAAGTATGCTGTGTTAACTTCCCTTCTTTCCTAGGCCTGAGGGAGAACACATTTACCAGAAATGCCCTTAACAATTCTCATATCACCTGAAGATCTTCACAGATGTAACTGTTCTAATTAAATCCTGTCCTTTAGGAATACATAGGATTGCCCACAGAGATTGGAGGAACTGTGTGACTTTCCTCCCTTCTCCTTTTTGCCCATACCTGTATGAGTTGGATCATGAGGACTTCTTTTGTAAAAGGTTTTCTTTCTTACCTTATTTTTCTTTACTACAGCAGCTGAATGACTCACCTGTTGAGATTGTCTTGGTTTACAAGATAGGTGTCTGCTAGGGAAGGCAGAAAAGCCTCCCTTGGAACAGAGAATGTAAACCCCCTACTTTTGCATTATTAGAATTGTGAAATCAAGGGGTTCTCAGGCAAAGATATGGGAATAGGAATAACAATTCTTTAAAATTCTTTAATAAAACAAACCAACAACATCAACTATGGCATTAACAACAAAGAGAACCCAAACCCAGTGTTAATAAGGTCCCGGTTCAGTGGCTGTTCTCCCCAGCAGAGGCTCACCCCACTGCAGAAGCAGTGAAATTCCTTTCCCCAGGAGCAGCAGCTCCAATCATCCTCCAAAAACACCTGAGAGAGGACCAGCAACTGCACCCAGCCCCTTCCCCCAGCCCGACTCCCCCTGGCATCTCCACCCAGCCTACCTGAGGGAAAACTCCCAAAAAAACAGAGTTGCCCTTTAGTCCCCAGCTCCCATCAGCAGCTCAATAGGAGGAAATTCCCCAGGGAATAGATTGCCTGTGATCACATTTTCCTGTCAGTGGTGACACACATCAGGCTCTCCCACCTCCACCACTCAGCAATTCGTTCACCTCTGCAGTGTTCAGCAGCTTGTGCTCTTGAGAGCTTGAATGACATTTTGGTGAAGTGGAAGCCTTTGAGCTTCATATGGGGACATCTGGAGGGAGCTTAATAATATGGGATATACAAGAAGTCATGTTAGTCACAGAAGCTAATTCTTTCCTGATCTGAAAGTCTTTAAAATATAATTAATTAGAAGTTGTTGAACAAAAGAGCATTCTGTACATCTCACAGGACTGGGTGCTCTCTCATTTCCGTGTGTGAAAAGCAGACAGCCGCCACCTAGTGAATGCTCAGATTTGAGAATATCTCCTTGAAAAATGTGCTCGCCTGCAGCTATCTGAGAAGTACCAGTCTGAGCATCGCCACAGGAAATGAAATGTTTCTGTTATTGTGGGTATTGAGGAAACTCAAGAACAACACGGGTTTAGGAAATCATTATATTCAAGAAGCAGCTGTCTCTTCTGCATTTTGAGCCCTGGTAGTATCACATTCTGTTTTGACAGCTGTCAGAAGTTAAATGAAAGATACTTGGGGAAAGAAGGGTTGAGCTACAGGAGAATTGTTACTTGCAACACTTGCCAAGAGTTGAAGTGTTCTTTTGGTGACGTACATGCTGTCTTTTTCTTTCTTTTCTCTTTTGCTCAACTTTGGTGCCTTTCATTTCTGTAACTCCTGTGACAGGGACTGGTATCATCCACCCTGTGCTACTTTCAGTAGAAAATTACTTTTTGGTACTGTGTGTGCACTGCAGCCCTGTCCTGCCCTAGTTTTATTCTACCTCTTCTTCAGTGATTGCCAACTTCTAAACTTTTGCTAGTGCCACTGTCCTCCTTTCATCTCCCAAATTTAAGCTACAGTATTGCCATGAGGGAAAGGAATTTATGCTACCTTTTTCCTTCTTGTTTTTTCTCTTCCTAGCTGATACCATTTATCTCCACAAATAACTGTAGCAGTTTGGGATTTTAGGTGACATCTGCCAAAGGTATTTAATGTAGCTGTTTATTAAATGTTTGCACTTAGTGTTTATATTCTGAGGGAGCATTCATAGGTGTTGGAGCACAAGGGGCTTCTATGTTTGCTTTGTGTTTTGGATTCACACTTGCAGGTCCTTAAAATAAATGTTATTTTCACTTTAAATTATTCTAACTTTAAGCCAGGAGTACCTGAAACTTTTGTTTCTGTAGTCAGCCCTTTTTATTGTTCTGTAATTGCAAACAAATATGGTCTCCCAAGGTTAGGTAAACCTGGCAGGGAGTTTTCAGAGGCTTAGTCCATGAAAACAGCTATCCCTCTTCTGTATCACATGGTGGCACAAAGTGCCCAGCATATGCTCTGTAATGTACCAGTTTGGTGCATCCTGTCAGATAATTTCAGTATGCAGCACTTTATAAAGAATTTAGTATTTTGGAAAATTAAGTTTGTTTAATTATCTGTGCAGGAAGAGCTTATTTTACAGTGAAGCAAGATGTGTTCATCCATAACTTGTGGGATGTGTATCATGCATGTGTGTAGGATTCACTTAAGTATTACATCATGCAGTAGAAAAGATAATTATATAGCTGGAATATATGTAGGCATTTAGTTTTAATTAGACTTTTGATTAAATATAAAAGTGCAATTAAGAGTGACTGATACAGTGGATCTTGGTAGACTACATGACAGTTTTTGGCTAGAGAAACTCCTGAATTGATGGGTTTAAACCGATGCTTTGTGCACTACTGTTGAAAATAAAACCATTAACTAATCATGGATATGAAGCTAATTACAGAGTTCTCCCTAAAACTACTTGACCAAGGTATTTGTCTGGTATCTTAACTAAGCCAGTCAGATAATCATTACACAAAGTGATTGCATAAAGAAAATGAGCAAAGAACCCTTCAGTTACTGTCAGGGTATGTTGACTGTGGTTCCTTGGAGTAGTTTTGCATCATTTCACAGCAGGTCTCTGCAGCTTTCCAGTGCCACCCCGAAGTTCTAAGCTGAGCACAGTGTCTCCCAGGCTCTGCACGAGTCTGCAGGACCTTGGGCAATCTCCTCTTTACCTTTCCATCTACCATGACTGCTGGAAATGTGAATGTCCTGAGCAGGACTGTGCCTCTGATTCTGGTTTTGCACTGCTCGTGGGTGTAGGGGTCTGTTGTGGTCCACGGTGATGCTGGACACAACCTTCCCCAAGAGCATCCAAGGGGTAGGAGCCACCAGAGCACCAGCACACACACACAGACAGACACACGGACAGACAGACACACACACATACACAGACATACAGAGCAGCTCAGCAGTGAAGACACAGGAGGGTCCAGGCATGGAGTTCCAACGTGCTTTACTTCAGGCAATGCTGAAGAGGTCCAGGGGCCAAAGACAAAGGCAAAGGAGGGTCCAGGGTATAAATACTGGGAAAAAGAGGACAGAAAAGAGTATCAGGGATCATCTAATGAACCGAGTGAGGGCTCAGGGGTAGTGCACAGGGATAGGGAATGCCAGGGTGGATAGGTGGGGTTACACAAACCCATGGGAAAGCAGGGAAGGGAGAAGTTACCAGAACATGAACATAAAAGGGTAAAAGGGGTAGGGAAGGAAGAGGGGCCAATGGGGAGGACAGAACTGGGACAAGTTTACATAGTGCTGCAGAGCACCAATGGGGGAGGCTTCTTTCCTCATCCTGAGCTGTGAGGAATGCCTGGAGCCTAAGATGCATCTCTCCAGGGCATAATTGTTGTGATGCCTTTCCCCAGTAGGCTTGTGGATGTCCACAGGGGTCCTATTGATATTTAAGGGACAAATTACTGAGACACAGAGAGCTGGCAATGTATGTGTTACTGCCCTTAATATTTGCTGTGGGGACAGAAGGGTATGGTTCCTTCTTGACACAATAGGGGATGATGGCCAGCCTTGAGAGATGGTTTTCTGCACACCAGTAAATCCCTGCGTTTTTTAAAAATTGCTTAGTTAGGCTGAAGATTGAAGTCGGCCCCATCTGAAGGGCTCCTGTAGACTCCAGCGTGGTGACACAGGCAGCTGTTCCCGTGTTTGTCTGTTAGAACTTGTCATTTTGTTTCACAGTATGGGAGGTGCGAGGAGTGACAGGACTAAATAAGCACAGAGGGAACTGACTGTTTTATCAGGCTGTGTTAACGAATAAGCTGGGAGTGAAGTTAACTCCATGTGAAGCATTTTAAATTATTTATTTTCGATCCTGGAACTGTACTTAACATGTTGTTAAGGCAGAGCCATGTTGACTGGGTAACGTTAATTACGCCACTGGAAACAATCACATTAGCTGAAAACAATTGATTGCTGCTATCATTCATGGCTCTGGGTACAGCCCCAGCTATTGCAAAGCAGGGCAAAGTGTCCTCTTCCATTCTTGGAAGTTCCTCCTGCATCCACCCACAGCTGCAAGTTAGCTCTTTAATTACTGCAACAAAATATGACGTTTGGTGGTTGTGGGTTTCTTGTATCCCTCTCTTTATTTAATTTTTTTTTTTTGTGAGTTAAGTGATTGTGTGACTGATCTCCTCTCCGTTTGACATGGCATGTCTTAAACATACAAGGTTGTTCATTGACCAGTCCACCAGTATAAAGGCATATACTCTAGTGTCCCTTAAATGCTTTCCCACAACTCCCTTAAAGATTCAGCTCCCTTTGCTTAATTCATAGAAAAAAATGTTGTGTCCTCCAGAACAGGAAATTTTTGCATCTAGGTTTTCCATTCTTTGCCATGGCTTTGGCTTACACATCCCTACTGAGAACTGGATGTGACTTGACTAGCATTTGTATGGATGTGTGCTAATCAAAATAAGAATTTTACATTCTTCTCACTTATTGTTCAGCATTGCATTGATTTAAGAACTTCAAAATGACCCAACTGAGAAGAGCTGGGAATATATCTACAAGTAAATGAATGGTTGGCTACTTGCAGTTGCTCCATTCTGTTTTTCTAGATGCTCCTGGTGCATGGTGAATGCAATCAGAGATTCCACTGGGAGAACACACCTGTGCAGTGTTTGTTCACATGCCCAGTAACACCTGACTCTCTGTTTGCAGGTTAGGCCAAAGACCCTGATTCCAGACAGCCTCCCAATCTCCCCGTGCAGAGACCAACCTTCCAAGCAGCCTCCCACCTTCCAGAAGGCAACCATAGTGAGCATCAAAAACCCCAGCCCCGCCCTCCCCACTGCCAACAACACCGTCAGCCATGGACAGACCCACAGCAGCCCGTCACAAGGCGTCACCGAGCCTGCAGCCCTCTCGTCCCCTCTGAGCGGTGCCGGCGTGGCCTATGCCATCATCTCCACCTCGCCCAGCAATGCAGCTCCCATCAGCAGCAGCGCCGCTGTCTCGGTGGTCAACGACGGCATCAAGGTGCAGCCGCTTCTCATCAGCGCCGACAGCAAGGTGAGCGCCCCGGGCAGCAAACGCAGCAGCTGTGCTGCAGGCATCAGCAGAGTGGGGCCCTGGGAGTGCACGGCCTGTGCAGTGCTGTCGGTGGTTCTTCTCAAGGAAAATAATCAGAAAGCAATGGGGGAAGTCTTGCACGGACACATGGAAGCTAGCAGACTTTGATCTGGGTACTAGCCTGTTTTTTACTGGGAACAAAACACATCATGGTGTTTAGTATCTACATATTGTTTTTTACTGGGAACAAAACACATCATGATGTAGACTTAGATATTGTAGATACTAACAGGACCCTCTGTTAATATGAACTTCTCTTTCCTTAAGCCAATCCTCACTAATCAAATCCTGAATTCTGTACAGACTCACATTTCCTATGGATTCCCTCTTCAATGACACAGTGATACTCGATTTGTTCACTGACCCCAGGGAGTACATAAAATTATCAGAGATTCCCTTCTGCTCTTTCAAATGAAATGAGAGCTCAGGGTTTCAGAACTGACCAGGAGATGAATCAGTAAAAAGAAAAAAAATCAAGCTATGAATTACTTCTTTCATCTTTGTACTGCTTTTCAGCATTGGAATGCAAGAACTTTACCACTCTTCTACCAGAGACAGATTCCATACAGGCTGCTAATGTACCAAGCAGACATTCACTGTAATTTACTACTGGGCTTCTGCTACTTTTGGTCTTGTTGGCAGCACAAATTCTCATACAGTGCTAAAAAAATATAGAGGATGTAGGATGGCTTTTGAGGTAAATAAAAGCAGACATATCTTCCCCATTTCTTTGACATAAATTATTTTTCTCTTACTTAAAATGGCTCCTGGCTCAGAAAACCATTGCTTCTTATGCTCTTGAATCGTCTAGAGTGACTAAGTTGAGATAATGTATCTAACACTTAAATGACATTGATTGAAAATTAGCAAGGAAGTAGATGGAAAAGGCCTAGTGTTCAAATCTAATAATCTTTATCTAGAAGGTGATGGTCCTTGGGAAGTCCTTTTGAAGCTTCCACAGTCCTTTTGATTATAGATGTGAAGTCATATGTGTAGTTCTGTGTGCAGAAATTAATTCCTTTTAATTTAATAGATAATGTGACCTACGTCATGTAAATCTTCATGTGATAATTCAAATATAAGCAGCTGCATATACTACCATAAATGTGTGAATGACATCTGTGTCGTAATTCCTATAGGTTCTAAACAAGACCTAAAATTAATTTTAAAAGCATATTGTTTATTTAGTTTACAGAAAACTGGACATCCACTGCTTATATCATGTAAAGGCTGAGGACTGAAGTGAGGAGTATCTTCTTTCTGAAAAAACACTGGTACAGCTGAGATCAAACTGGGTTTGAAAGCTTATTAATCCCATTTGTTCTACTCATACACAAAATAAAATCAAAGGAGAGACCTTAAAATCACTAACACAACTGCTAAAGCATGGCTTCTCAGCCACCTTCACAAGTCCTCTAAATAGAAGGTCTCCTAATTTTCAGAGGCACTGATCAAGTGACTCAGGCTGCAGCAGGTTTATAATGCACCAATAAGAATTAATTTTTAGAAACTTAAGTATGGATTTAGGACCTTAACCTAGATATCCTGTTGTTTTATGCTTTTGACTTGTGACTCATATTTCTTATTTGTAGGGTATCAAGTAACCCTTCAAAGACGACTCAAAGGTTTCGGGCAGAAAAATCCAGTTTCATATAGTGAATTGTCTTATTTGTACATTGTCTTTCAGGTTATCATTATTCAACCTCAAGTCCAAACCCAGACAGAAAGTAAACTGGAGACAAAGAAATCTCCTGAAGAGTCAGCTCAGGGACTGCCTGCTACCAAAAAGAAAAAGGAAGAAAATCCAGAGGTGATTTTATTTCTTTTATTTTTTAATAGATGAGCTACAATATGGTTAAGTTATGGGGGCCAAATCTAAACATCCTTCTCTGTGCATATGCAATTATTTTATTTGTGCTTATGGTTCTGCCAGCTGTTCATCTCAGCTCTCAATCTCTGCCATCAGGGTAATTCCCCAGCCAGCGAGTGCCCTGACAAATTTGGTTTGCACCATTCAAACCTTCCACTGTCACAAAATGTAAGATTTGGAAGTCTCATCATACCTAAAAGTCTCATAATAAACTAGGGACCCCATGGCTGTAGCTGGGTTTCTTGTGAAAGGTGTATACAAGCCTAAGATATTTTCTTTTATGTTGTCAAACATATAGCATCAGATTTAGAAGCTGTGTGTGAGGTGGAATTAGCATTTCTTTTGTAAGCTGAGCTTTTAACATCTTCTTTGTAATGAATCTTGCAATTTTTAGATTGTATTAATAGTTTCCTGCACTTGCTGTGTACATGTCTTCCCATATGTACACAGATTCTAGTCTGAAATACATTAAAATCCTTTAAATTGGGTAAGAGAGTAGAAAGCAGGTAGTGAGACTAAATCACTTTTAGGAATTATAATTTTGATTTAAACTAGAAATATGAACTGCAGCTCTTTGTAGAAATGGAGTCTCTCTAACAGACATTTTGGGTTTTGACTGGATATATTCACATTATATTAGGTGTAATTTTAGGGCAGTTTGAGAAATTATGCAGGCTGAAACTTTCTTTTGTAGAAATGCTCAGCTCCTGTGAAATCTTAAACCTCACCAGTCTGATAAATGTGTAGCACAAAAGCATCCTTGGAGCTGTAGGTTTAAGGGGATTATTACAATATAAAATATGTTGCTTGAGGCATGCGTGTGGTCAATTTTTTCACTATTTTAGGAAGTTCATATGGTTAAAAAAGTATTAAGGATAAATATTTTAGCCCAAAATATCACAGCTCTATGAAGAAGCTCTGCAAAACTATGCTTGGGAAACCTCCCAAGTTTAAAATCTGACCTTTATATGAATCTTCATTACCATGGAATGATGGGACTGTAGAGTCCTGTTTTGTTTAGGCAGGTGTTTCCAAAAACTTCTTTATTTTGTCGCACCTTCTGGGCAGAAAGACCAGTAGACCTGCTTAGGAACAGAATGCTAGGAAAACCACAATTTTTCTTTGCCTGTAACTTTTCCCCATGGAAAAATGATGAATAAAAGCCTTCCAGAGAGAGGCAGGAGGAGGCAATTGGACTGGGCACACTTATGGTATGGGATTCAAAAATGTAAGATTTTCATTACATAGCTAACTAAAATATCTCAATGACCTTTTTCTAACCACAGACACTGTTCCTACCCTGTTTACTGGAGGTCTCAAAAACCTTAATTTTCTGGGTAGGGTGCTGACACTGTGCCCTAAACTATGACAGTTCTTTTCATAGATTTGTTGCACAGCCATAAATAGGTAGGTCTAGAGTTAATTTCTTTTGTTCTTTGAAAGTAAACTTTAGTTGATTATCATGTATTTATGCAATTAGTGTAATTAGAACTAACATCATAATTAGTATAAATACATGTAATGACATAAATAGAACATGTAATTACAAAATGAAATGCTTTTATGAAAATCTTTGTTTTGCTTCATGAAAAGACATACTGTGTACTTCTAAAAGCACTCATGGCTTATAAGCAGATGATTAAATTTAAAGCAAAAACAGCATGGTATTTTTAAAGAGAAAATAGGCACTCAAGGCACTTCTCACTTTTATTTATCTTCAAAGCAGAAAACTGAGGCAGGAACTCCAATATGGCTCTGTACAGAACTTAGCTGGGATTTAGCAAATTCCACTGACAATTTGAAACGAGCTAACTAGAATTAACCCAACTTGGCAGTACCCAGGATTCCCAATGCAGTTACTGAGTATACCTGAATAAACAGAGAAAAACAAGGATAATTACTGTCTGTAGCTCCTGGCTTGGTCATCCTGCTGGGAAACCCTGAAGCTGATCATGGACTGAGGAGGAGAAGGAGGTCACCCCTCCTTCCCATCACCAGGGCACCGCTGGGGATGGAGAACAGTGATGATGGATCCAGTGATGGGCCTTCACCCACCAGGATGACTTCTGAAAAAAAAATGGAATAATTACAAAAGGGAGTTGCTCCTCTAGGGAGAAAATACCCTGGATGTTGTTTTTTGTGGTTTTTTCTTAATTTCTTTGGGGTGAGTGCAGGGTTAATATTTTCTTTTTTTTTCTTGAAGAGACCTGAGTTCAACACAGAGAGAAACAGAATTCTGCCAAAACCCTTTTGATAATTTAAAAATTCATGTTAACGAACTATCTGGCAACATTGTCATTCTAAAATGTTTTTATTGAAAAGAAAAATTACTGCCACAAATGCTGGTTATTTAGTTACTGGTGTTCTAATTCTTCCTAAGCACAAGAGAGACAAATGGCAATTGTGAACTAAATGCTAGTATTAAGCCTGGATTGAAAATCTGGAGAAAATGAAGTCTTAGCTTTGCAACTTCCCGTACAGAGGACAAACAATAGACCCTGTGATATTTGAAATTAAAGTTTTGCAGTGGAAGTCAGATTTTGAATTGAATCTAATCAGCTGCAGAGGTGTGAAACAGCAAAACCCATAAAAACAAATAGGCTGTTAAAATAATATGCTTGTTCAAAAGAATACTGCTTGTACTGGGTTTTTTTAAAAGGAACCATCTTTCAAGTCCCTATAAAAGCTAACACTTCCTGTGTTTAATCATGAGATAATTTTCAAGTCCACTTGTGATGGCTTTTCATATTTTAAGCAAGTATGTTGCTTTTAGTTAGATACATATTCAAGCAATTTCAGTATGAAGTGAGGAAATTGTTTAGCAAACATTCCAGTACACAAATTTCAGTTGAGGCATCAGCAAACGTGTTCTTTCCCTACAGTTTAATGTTGGGGTAATGCAAGAATTCTGTACCATTGAGAAAACACACATTAACCATTCCATCTTCCTGATTCTATCCCTAAAATTGTTATTACTTTTGCTCACAGTGCTGAGAAGTATCCTGCCACTGTTACTTTTTTTACACAGTGGATCAAATATTCATCTTTTCCTTCAGGTGTGGGGCCCCCACTGTGCCTGGCTGGTGTTTCAGGCATGTAAGGAGTGAATATTACTGAAATTGAGGTCTGACTTGCAAATGAACACGTGCATGTAATTACCACAGACATAAAAGGCAGAAATACAGCATGAATATATCTAAATTGCCAGTGCCATTACACCACCATTTTTTAATCTACCTGGAGAGTAGGAATGTCTTGAGATTGTGGAAAGGAACTATTCCTGCTTACATGGGTATTAGTTCAACTGTTTGACAAAGGTATTTTCACAGATGCAGGAGTGGTAGAGATGTCCAATCCTAACCTTTTAATTTTGATGAACCACCCAATAGTTAGATCTACAAAATGATGTAGAGGATGTTTCTGCTTTCACAATTTCACTAAGTGAAAGTCAGAACTGAAAAGAAAATTGTAGTTCTGGTAATTTATAAGTTGACTTTTTCCTGAACTGAATTGAAATGTTAAATCATCAGGCTTTTCACAAAACAAGAAGGTCAGACTAATTTTGACTGGGAAGTGTTGAAACATGTTCTTCTGACACTCTTTGAATGAAACAATGTTTTTGACCTTCTACTGCTTAAGCACTGTGTTTTTGCTGGACCTAAATCCAAACATTTTATTTGAGGTGTGATAATTGCATCCTCCTGTGGTCTTTGTACACTTCCTCAGACTTGGATTGTGGGCTTTGCTTGCTTGGATTTCCCAAGAGCTTGAGTTGCATTGTCAGATTGTCTCTCCTGTGGAACCGAACCTCATAAAATCCAACAACATCATTCAGCACAAAGCCCCACAAGTACCACAAATGTGGCTGAAAACCAAGGAGTTCAGTTCAGTTTGGGCTTGGAAAAGCACAGTGTAATTTCAGTTTTCATCAAAAACATGCGATAAAAACTTCAGCAAAACCTTTCTGCAAGGAAACATGTTCCAGTGAGAAATCGCTGAGAGAATTTAGAATCTGCTCTAATACTTGTCCTATCACTGCATCAGCATGTCCTGAAGATTTTTTTTTGGTATGAAGTTTTGTTTTGTGCATATATAGTTTAGAAGGGTTGTGAGTAATATTTTAGATCAGATTTCATGCTGCAAAATGAGTTCACCAGTGTGAGTGGGAGATGTCTGTTCACTCCCCATTGAGGAAAAGTAGATGTCTTCACAATCCATGCACACTGTGTTATTTTTAAAACTTGGAAAGAGAAATTTCTGGGATTGGAAATTTTTTGTTTGGTTGGGTATTTTTTTTGTTTGTTTGTTGGTTTTTTTTGTTTTGTTTTGTTTTTTTGTTTGTTTGTTTGTGGTTTTTTTTTGTTATTGTTGTTTTTAATGGGAGGGGACTTTCAATATGCTTCTGATGTCTTGTTTAGTGTTGTACAGTTCATAATTGTTTCACTTCATACAGCTTGCTCATATCCAATAAAAGCAGTGTATCATGTCCAGATTGTAAAAAATAAAACAAAATTACTTCACTAAAGAATTGAGCAACAATCCAGCTAGCAATGTGAAATTGAACTGATTGAATTGACTGAATATTGGTCATGTGCTGTGTAAGATCAGTAGTCATTTAGCATTGACTTCAGGCATCTTTGAATTGCTTGAGTTTATATACTCATACAAGGAGAACCAGGCATATCTCAAGCAAACCTTTAGTTAAAGTTCTTTACATAACTATGCATTCAAATAAGATACATTTCTAAAAGACTTTTATTAGGTTTATTCTGTCAATGCTAATTTTATTTTCTTATCATGATCATTATAGTAGAAAATCTAACCCATTTATTTTTTCCTTAGAAAATTGCCTTCATGGTAGCACTAGGACTGGTTACAACAGAACATTTGGAAGGTAAGGTGGCATATGTTGATTTACAGTCCAGTTTTTGAGTGAAATCTTTGCTGTTGGCTTCTCTGTCAGAGCACATTGCTGAGCATTGCGTTCAGATGGCTTTTGAATCCCTCCAGAGAAGGAGATTGCACAGCCTCTCTGGGCAATCTGTTCAGTGTTCTGTTACCCTTCTGGAAAAGAAGTTCTTCCTCATGTTCAGGATGAACTTCCTGGGCATCAGTTTCTGCACATTGCCTTTGTCCTGTTGCTGGGCACCATGGAGCACAGCCCAGTCCGTGCTCTGATCCCTGCCTGCAGATATTTATATACATCAACAAGATTCCTTCTCAGTTTTTCCTTCTCTCCTTCTCTGAAGGGCATGAAAACTGAAAAAATGAAAATTAAAAAATCAGATTTGCACAGTTGTGCCTTTCAGTCTCACAAGAGGGGGTGACCTTACTTAGCTCTGCCTCCCACCCCATGGCAGTGCTCAAAGGGCATGAGGACTGGCCCTGCTTGGCACAGGCTGGTATTTGGGCTCACTCAGTCATCATGGTCCTCTAAAAGGTGTTAAGACCTGGAAGAAACAGTGAAACAAAAATCCTGCAAAGGCTCTGACTGCCACTGATCTGGTTGATGGATCTGTGAGGTTCAAAGATGTTTGCCCAGCTATGCAGCAAGTGCCCTCTGCTCTCTCCCATGTGACTTTCACTTTTTGACTTGATTGTCTGTCACCTCTAGAGTTCCACAGAATAATATATAAAATAGTGATGAAAATCTGGCATTTGTTTCATAAGATTTTACTTACTTAAGATTACTTCTCACAAAGAATTCCTTTCCTCCCTTTTCCCCACTTAGCCAAAAACTTAACCACCTTCCCACCAAATCCTGTGTTTGCCTGAGAGCATCTAGCATGTCTCCTCAGGCTCCTGAATGTGACTTCAAACAAATATTGCACATAAGCTAAAATAAGCATCACATTATTTTCAGTTTCCTTCTCCAACCTTCCAAAAATAGCTTGCAAAAGTTAGCAGATTTGTATCTTTCTTTGCCTCAGCTTTGTTGTTCTGAAATTAGAGATGAGGGGGAAAAAAAGAGTTTATTTAGCAAATTTGCCAGTGGCATGAGACAAGTTGGGGTGGCAGAATAGTTCTTCTCAGCTTTGTTGTTCTGAAATTAGAGATGAGAGGGGGAAAAAAGAGTTTGTTTAGCAAATTTACCAGTAGCATGAGACAAGTTGGGGTGCCAGAATAGTTCTCATGGACAGAGATGATGCAGGTGTTTTGAAGTAAAGATCTGCACCCTGATGGTTTTAGTTACAAGCTCAGCTACAACAAGTTGGTGTGATTCCACCAGTAAAAGGAGAGAAAACTGGTATCTGTATCAGCTGACAGTGATTCTTGATCACAAAAAGTGTTAATGGCAATTGATATTTACCACCCATCCCATAGTAAACAAAATACTTAGGAATTTCCAGTGCACTGAGTTTATGTTTTATGTGCTTTAGGTTTAGGAGCATGCTTAGCTACCTCGCTGTCTCAAGGCATCTACCATTTTTAGCTTGATTTCTTTTTTCTAAGATTTCCAGTTCTTTGGTTTTAAGACAAGTTGTGAATCAGTAAGATATTATAATGTCTCCTCAGTATATGCAGCAGGTTTCCTGTGGGTCTTGTTTCCATTTTTCAGTGTTTTTCCTCTTTAAATCTGCATTTTAAAAAATAGTTTAATGTCCCAGTGACTGAGAATTTGAAAGCGGTTTAAAGAAATTTTAAGCCTTCATAATTTTTAATCCTTTAATGGTCATGGATTGAAATGGAAATCAAAAAGCTACAACAATTTGAGGAGAAGATTTATAATCCAAAAAGTGCAAATGATGATTGGTTGTTGTTTTCTTTGTCTAAGGAAAACAGGACAACATTTGAAATTAGTCAGAAGTACAAATTATGCTTACAACAGAGAGGACTTAATTTTGAATAATTCTATACCCTTTGATTTTATTGGAACTAATACATTGTTTATGTGGATTTATTACTTGTGTTCAAAATGCCAAGCAGTGCTCTTCTCTGTTCTACACCAAGTGTGGAGATGCTCATTTTGAATCAAATTGCTACAACACTTGCCATGCAGAATCAATTCCTGAAGACAAATTCACTTCTTATATTTCTACTAGCATTAAATAAATGGTTCCAACCAAGAGCTATTTACTATGGAAAGGGTATTTCTTCACCAGAATTGGTGATTACAACTGTCAGAGATTTCCTTATAGCTTTCACATGCTAAAGGTTATTATTTTACTGTGTCATTTTTACAGTTATCAGTCATTGCTATTTATCAGGACATACTGTCATTACACAGTTCAGTTTATTTTAAAACTTCTAAATATTTCTCCATTTCACATTTTTGGAATTTAACTCTATCAAGATTGGATCATTAAAAGCTTATTCATTTAGTATCTCTAATTCACAGTGTTACAGTTTTCCTTAATTTTATTCATTAATTTTCTGGTGAAGGGCTGTGATCCACTTCTATGTGTGTTTCTCTATCCACCTAGAAGCCTTTTCACCTGACCTCCACACAAGCATTCCCTGCCTGGGGAAAGAGCTCTGTTCTGCAGAGCCTGAGTGAGGCATCTTTAGCAGTAAATGAACACAGCTGCTTCCACTAACTGACAGTCTGCAAGGTACAGCTTTCCCTGTAAATTTTAAACAAAGAAAAAATTTTCTAAATAAATAAAATATTTTAAATAAAGAAAAATTGCCATCACAGGCTGCATAGAATGACCATGCAGAGTGTTTATTGGTGAAGGCAGCAGCTCACTGGAGTTTGGCCTCCAACATAAAGCTATCTTTAAATTCATTAATCTTTGTCAAATGTATTACAGTTTAATTTTTCCTATTATGTTTCTATTTTTTTAGATAAGCTAAGGAATAAGATAGCTCAATTCTGTGATGCAGTTCATGGTTGTAACATATTGACTCTTTCTCTAAGCTATTAGAAACACCTTCTAGCATTACAATTTTGTAAAAAAAAAGGTGGAAAGCAAAACTTTAAAAGAATGACCTTTAGTTCAGGTCATTCTAAGAATGCATATCTTGGTGCATCTAGATTACTGAAATATTTGTGATTTCATCAATTGAAACAAATTTAATTTAACTTTATTGCATCCTGCTCTGAAAAGTACATTATACTTTTATAGCAAAAGTAACAAGTAACAAAAGATAGCACACCAGTGTATGCTTTTGCTCTGTCTGGGTGTAATTTTTGACAGAACCACTCCACATGCACATAGATGCATGATATTTTTGTTTCCACGAAAGTGAAAATTGGTATTTTGTTTCCAAGAAAGTGCTCTCCCTCCCTGATGGCTGCATAGGATATTGTACATCTCGAGATGTTTCCATTCATTACTCTCTCTCTCTCTCTGCTTTTCCATCTATTCCCACTGCTATTACTTTTCATCCCAGCCAGCTCTTATCTCTGTACCATAGCAATGCCTGTTCCAAAGCTGCATTCCAAGTATCTGCCATATGTGTGATTCAGACCCCACCAGATATTTTCTGTTGCCTTGGTGAGAGCATGTACCAAAGAAATTTTCTCTTTAACTTGGGACCAAGAAGGACAGAGAGCAACAGGTCCATCACTGTCCTTTTATGAGATGCTTGGCCCAGTTACATACAAAGAAAACTCTGCTGCATTGAATTGTTTCTTTTTCTGGGCCATTGAAAGTGCCAGTCCTGTGACCACTTCTGGAAGACCAAGCCTGCCCTAACTCCACTTTTTTCTCTGCATTGCCATGGCAGTGCTGAGATGCTGCAAGCCCTGAATTCACTGGTAAGGGTCCTGAGCCTGGCTGCAAGAGCCACAGCTCCAGCTCACACTGCTGAGACCAAAGAGTCAGCTGAGGGCCACTTTTATTGCTGCACCAAGGTTCCTCAGTTGTGACATCTCTGTTACCTTTGGACCTTGAGAGCATTTCCATTAGAAGAGCTGATGCTGACATTAAGAACAACATTGCTCTTTTGTGGCTTTGAGAGGCCACTGGATCTGCATGGAGCACTCACCCTGCTGCTGAGGCACAATTTCCTTTAGATGCTTTCAAAGAGCCTGGGAGGTTCAGGATGGATATTTCAGCACAGACACGTGAGCATTTCATAGGAAATATTTTCACAGTAGGACAAAACCGTTTCCCAGACAAGATCCTGTGTTTTGGAGTCTGCATAGTGTGAATGATGTTAATGTGATGTTACAGTGGTTACAGCCAAAGCACTTATCTCACATCCTAGTGCAGCTTCAGATCACACATTTCTTGGTGGTGAGATTCTGTGCAGCCCCTTGAGTCACATGGCAGCATGTGACTGTGCTATTTGAAGTGCCCTAGGGGAAGAGACACCTTCTGAACATGAGAGGTGACATGTTCCTGTGCCATAGAAAAACCCAGCTAGTAGTTGCTCTCCTGTTTTTCTTGTCCATCTAGTTTCCTTCTGATGCATCCATCACTCCAAGCACAGCAGCTCAGCTGATACTCTTTCATGAAGGGAAAGTTTTAAATCCATATCTTAGAAGTTAAGCCAGTACAAAACCCATATAAAGTGCTTGCCTCATCTCCAGGGACACTGTGTCCAAGACATGACCAAAAATACTGACACCCTGTACTGTAGCAATGCTTCAAATGGTATATGGGAATGATCAGCTCTTGAAAAGGGTGCTGGAAAACAGAACTGAGTGCTGGGCATCCAGTGTATAAACACCCTGAAAGCTCAGCTGTATCTTACTGTTGGATAACAGGTGGGAGATCTTGCTCAATACCCCGAAGGCCATTTTCTCGTGCTGAGTGTGTTCTGAGATACACCTCTTCAGCTCAGATGTTGAGGAAAGGCCAGACCTCCTGCATAATCAGAGGGTGTCCTGAGCTTCTCTTGGGTGGGCTCTGGGGCCTCTGGGCTGAAGAACATGCTCCTGCCAGTTCCTCTCCTTCTGAGATAGAGCAAGACAGAGCAGAGGTATCACCACCATGGGGGCATTTAGACTACCCTCTGGTACCTCAGCACAAAGTCTAAACTTTACCTTACAATATTCACACAGGAAATATTTTGGAATAGAGCACGCACTTTATGTCATGGAATCTCCTTGCTAAAGTGTGTCTGGGGTTTATAAGCAAAATAACATGCTCTAAAAGACATGCTTGTAATAATCTCAGCATTCTGAACTGATGTCAAGAGCTGGAGAAAGAAATTCTGTGTGATATAAATGGAATCCTGGCTCAGATCAAAGTAGCATTAAACCTACAGATTTCTGTGGCCAAGTCATCTGCTCCATCTCTCTGTGTTTACAGAGTTGTGCACATGGCTGGTGGTTGCTAAACTCAGTCCTCAGCATGTGTCATCTTCAATAGGTGTCACCATTTAGTGGAAGGGAGTTGTGGAAGTTTAGTGGAAGGGAGAAATGGGCTGCAGTCCAAAGAGCCCATCTGTGTGCTGGTGTTTGCAGTGACACATACATCCACATATGACTCATAATGATATTTTGCAAGCTCAGGATTGTGAAGTTGTATTCTGGGTGGATAACTCATCACACCCTGGTTAGAAGTGAATCCAGCTGTGCCATTTCAATGATGCTTTTTCTAGCCTCCATGGAGGAGAGTACTTTGAAGGCTCTCTGATGATGCTTGCTGAATGTGTCTGAAGAGATCATAATAAAATTCTTGTAGGGCAGCAGAAGTCTACCTTGAAGGAAGAAAAAAAAATGCCTGTGAATCTCACAAGGAAAAGCTTATTAATGTCAAACCTTGAACTGCAGCAAAAATCAATGCTGATGCAACCCAATTATACTTTAGAAACTGAAACAGAACACAGAGCTCAAGGGGCTGAGGGTAAGATCATCTTACATAACAAGTTATATCTACATTTTTCCCTGATGAATGACAAATACACAGTTCATGTTCCTTTCCATGGTTACAGAAATCCAGAGCAAGCGTCAGGAAAGAAAGAGAAGAAGCACAGCAAATCCAGCCTACAGTGGACTCTTGGAAACAGAGGTACTTTATCATTCACTTTTTTACCACAGTTCTATTTCATATCAATAAAAGGTCTAAGTGTTTCCTACTGCAAAAATATATATGAATGCAGAACCACGGCTACTTGTAAAGAGATCCTAATGTAGAAAAGAAAGAAAATATCTCAGTGCCTAAGCAACAGGTTATCAGCACACAACATCACTTGCTCCAAACTAGAATTCATCTTAGTTTTAATTAAGTCCAAGAGAACTAAATAATGGGGCACCTAATTACTCTTTTATCTACAAAGGCAGTCCCTTTAGATCATAATTGGAGAACAGAAGTGCTGCATTATGTTCAAATGTGCATTGCTATTTCTCTTTCTTATGTGCCAAATTATTAATAATAATAATAATCTTTGCTTTTCTAAATTTGTGACATTTGTAAAAGGGGTGTGTTGGTTTAAGAATCAGTGTGGTCTGCAGAGGGTATAAAAATCTGCATAATAAATATAATTATGCATTATTTAAAATAAAATGCTCTGGATAATCTCTGTTGTCTGTAACACTTACACTGTTGCATTTATAGTAGTATCACAATTTGGTCCTGCATATTATTGGATTGCAAACTTGGTAAAAGCAGCATATAAAAAGGCTTAACTTTTTCTGGATTTTTTTCTTTGTTTCTAAACTAACATATATGCATTTATTCAGTTAATTAAAATTTCACATTTAAAATTTCAGCACAGTTTGGGTTTACCATCTGAACTTTTTATTGGGATGGAACTCAATTGCAGCCAGCTCTCCATTTAAGCAAGGCTTCTCTGAGTGTGTTCTGAGTTCTGTAAGACTAAAGAAAGATACTTATTTAGGCATAAGTGCTGCAGAATTTCTGGTATGCCAGTATTTCAGATTTCTGTCTTTGTTGGCAGATAGCAAACAGATGAGGCTAAGAAGAAACTGCAGTCAAACTGCTGAGTCGCTTGAATGTTCTTTTTTTGAAAGCACTGGAGATTTTTATTCTCCAGAGCAGCTCTGGGCACTTGAGTTCTTCAGAATTCCTCAACTATTTTTTTTTTTTCAGTGCAAATACTGATGTCCATATGTGCAGTATTTAACACAGTAGGAACTTTAGCCTTGCTAGCATTAAATCTGTAGCTCTTTGGACATTTTTGTCCTGATTATTAAAATACTTGCAGCAGAGTTTTGTGGCTGTAGCCAGATTGGTGTTTGTGACAAACTCTATTAGCTTGGAGAGGTGGAAGAGAAGATGGCCTAGGTCTACTGCACCCCTAGCTCATATTTCTCATCATATCTTTTCTCAAAAACTTATGCTTGAATGAAGGATGGCAAGGAGAAAGAAATGTCTGTGGAAGACTCCTGTGGCTGATCAGCTGTGTCCTCATTAGGAGCTGTCATTAAGTACTGACCATGGGGAATGTCATCCACGTTAAATGGAGGCAGATGTTTTTCCTCTAATCAATTACCTGCTCAGACTGGTTTGCTAATCAGGGAGTTGAGGCATTGGTGGCATTTCAGGCATTTTGGTGCAGTTTAATTTAGTCTACTGAATGATCTTTAATTCATGATTGTTTAAATTGAAATTGCATATAAATTAGACCTTTTATTTGCCAACACCCCTCGAAATGGCAGGAGTTCAGCATTTGCAGTGGTGATACTAACTTTGACTGCAAAAATATGATCATGGTCTTATGTCTTCACTTGAATGGCATGCTTTTTCTTCTCAAAGCTTTGCTCTTTAAAAAAATGAGATACCATTTTATTTTCATGCCCTCAGTAGCCTTTTTTTTTCCATAGGAAAGTGTTACATTTTGGGCTGGTTATTTTTTGAAGAAATAAACATCTATTCAAAGTTCATTAACAGCCTGGCAGGCACCTGTCTATAAAAGAATATGCTCACCACAGAATAAAAAATTTAGTAGCAAAACCCTTCTAATTTTCTTCCAAGCTGAATCTAACAACATCTAATGGAGGAAAATGGTGTTTTCAGTTTTCAGACTGTTTCCAGTCCTGCTGCACAAGTATTGGGTGGCTCAGAGGAACAATTTGGTGTTGTCCAGACTATTCATGAAGCCTGGCACAGCTTTTGCCATCAGACAAGGCTGGCCATGGGCTGTATTAGATGAGTTAAACATCTCAGACAGGTTTGCAGTGCTCTCTGTAAGTTTGGTGATCTCAGCAGATTGAAATCCCTGCCAGCTCCTCAAGGTCCTGCACAGTCACTTCTGAAAGGGAAATACTTTGCTAAGGCCCTCAGTTGTTGCTTGCAAATGCAGTATGTTCCTCTGAGCTGTACAGGTGTCACAAAGGTAGTAGTGTTCTTCGTGCAGGTGAGAAATCCAGCACCATTTTTATGTATGCAAATAAAAATGTAATTTCACAGCAACAATTTTCCCTTATGGACATTTTTGGGCTTGGAATTAGTTTTGCTGTAGTCTTGCTCTTACCAGCCCATGCAATGTATCCTGGAACCCTAGCAATAACATTCACAATTTGTATTTCTTTCTTCTTAATAAAATCTAATACACAATAAACTGCTGTATGAAAAACTTGTTAGAAAGGTAAATCATACAACTGTTTGTCTCACTGTGTCGGTGGTCTCTAAGTAGCTTTTGGAGAGCTGGTTAGGTATGAGGTAAGCCCATGGAGATTGAAAATCTGAAATGTAAAGGACAACCAGAGCACTGCAATGACATGGGGTTGGTTTCTTTTCCCTTGTAGCGGAAACGCCTTGCATCGAATTATTTGAATAACCCCTTGTTCCTTTCAACAAGAGGTAAGTGTATTTTTAAATCAATATACTGCTCTTCTAATGACATGTTAAAGATTTATTAGTAGGTTTTCATGTGAGTTACTGTTAGGATACCACAGGTCATTACTTTGTGTAATGTCCCTGTATTTTTTAATATGGAGTGAAAATAGATTGTTTTCCTGCAAAAACAATGGAAGGATAAGGCTAAAGGTCACAATTTTGTAGAGATGGATCCAAACCTCTGCAATCAGTGGAAAATCAAATCTCTGGCACTGCTTTGGTTTGAAAAGACAGATGTCTGCTAAGGAAGGCAGGAGCCTCCCTTGAAATTGAAAATGTAAACCCCCTCTCTGAATTATTGTAATATTGAAATTAAGGGAGCTCTCAGGCAAAGATATGGCAATAGGAATAGCAGTTCTTTATTAGGGGAAAAAAAATAGAAATGCAGTAACACAAAACAATACTGACAGAGTCAGAATAGGGCCTGACACCCTGTGGGTCAGGGTGTTGGCAGCAGTCCCATTCGATGGTGGCTGCAGCCCTCCTGCAGTGCCAGCTGTGGTTCTGTTGGAGCAGGGATCCTGTAGAAGGGTGGAGTTTTCCTCTGAAGGTCCTGTGGTGGTGTAGATGGACCTGGTCTTCTGGGAATCTAGTGGAAAAGAAAGCTGTTCCTCTGGGAATCCAGTGGAAAAGGCTGATTGTGGTGTTCTAAATCTCAGATTATATCCAGGTAGGAATGCTTGGCTCCTCCCCCTGGGCAAAGCATCTCCCAATGGGCTGATGTAATTTTTATTAGTTTTTATTCACCATGCAGTGAAACTCAGTGGCCCATTAATAGATGACATTTCTTGGAGGGAAGATTGGTTTGTAGAAGAGATAAAGAAAACTGCCCCACCTGCTTTTAGTTGTTGCCTCAATTGACAGAATATAATTGTCCCACCTCTAACAGATGGCAATAGAATACACACTCCCAGCCACATCTTGCAACCTAAGACAGGCACTTTAAGCAGTGAGAGAAATGATTGAAGAAAGTTGTGTTGCCAACCCCAAGTACTTAAAAATATATATTAAAAAATAATTACTATTTTAGGCTTTTCATGTGCGTCTTTCCACCAGCTTTAAGAAAGTGCTCTCCATCCTCAAGCACCAGAAATTTCCCACAACTTCTGCTTCAATAACAAGGGTTGAAAGCCAGTTTTTCTGATTCCAAGAGGCAGAGTCATAAATCTGGACCTTATTCCACTCTTGTGCTCATAAGAACTTCTTATCTGGAACTTAATAGTAAATGCCTTGAGAATTAACAACTCGGAGGAGCCATTTGGGGATGCTGATTATTAGCTCATGGGAAGAAGCACATTTCAGGAAAAAATGTGCAACACAGAAAAGACAAAGAGTTGGGACATGTGAGGTGAAACACAGAGAATGTTGAGTATGGTTTAATTCTTCAGTCAAGACCCATGTACTATTTTAAGGCAGAAAGTGAGAAATTTGTGTTTCAGAAGAGGAGACAAAGCCAGTAAAGAAATTTGATTCTGTCCTTGCCCTTGTTTTGCCTTTATAACTTTTTCTCTACTGAGATGATTAGAGGTAAAGGGAAGAGAGACCTTTTTCTAAGTTAAATATTATTTTGGTATTAGTAGCATTTGCAGGGGTAATTATAATTGAGACATGAGATTTTGACAGTTTTTCAGTGTTTGCTTGATCTCACTGTCAAGTGTCATGTTCAGTGCTTGAGATTCACCTTTCTGCCTCTGCCTTGACTTCCTGCACCACAGGAGCACCAACTGAAAGGCAAAATTTCACATGCCAGATGCAGACACTTGGCTTGCTTACCATATGCATTACTTTACTTACCTCTAATGCACTGGGTCTCAGAGGACAGGAGAGGTTATTACAGTAAGCAGCTACGATGACATGCCTCTTAGCAGGAAGCCAGGCTCATGTGAGCCCCACTGGAAAGAATATTATTCCTGGCTTAGTTTTATATTCAAAATTAAAATCGTAATAGATTGTTTGTCTTATGATAGCACTTGTTTTCCCCATGTAAACACATGTGAGAAATCAGGACAGAACATGGCATTGTTAGCAAGTTGTGCCTCCAGCCCCTTGGTGGGTTTAAGTTAGGTTGTGATATCTCTGACCTTCCTTTCATTACATGTTTCTCATTTTATTTGCAAGCAAGTAGGCAAGTGACAGACATCTGCTGTTGCAGCTGTCTTGGAGCTTCCTGGAAATCAGCAACCTCCCTCCCTAATCATTAATTCCTCTTTGAGTTCTGTATCTTTGATTTTTCCAGAATCCAGAATACCTGCTGGAGTTCTGCATATTCTGAGAATGTTGAGATGGACTTCTTTATAGCAGAATTCCCCACCTCTGCAAGGATATTTTTGGCACCAGCACTGTTCTGCTGGGTGCTGTGCAAGCACTGAGCAGAAGACAGGTGCTGTCCCAGATTTCTTGGCTCTGCAGTGATGCAGTTCTCCAGCTTCAGTGCAGAGATGGCTGCCCTTCTCTTATAAAGGGCTCCTTTAAAAGTATTGTCTTCAGATTAATTTTTCAGCAGCTAGAAGAGGGATGTGGATGTGTTTTAAGAAGTTTAAAACTAAGTACAAAAGTGAGCTGAAAAGGCAAACAAACAAACCAGAAAAAAATCCCCATAATGCCCAGGAAGCAACTGTCATTTCTGGACATGCAGAAGATGACAATTCTTGTAAATTTTGATCAAAATGTTAATTGATCAGGATTGATTTAAATGAAAATGTCTTTTCTGAAATGAGGTCACATCCCCTGACATGTGTCATTTGTACAAAAGATTCATCAATTATCAAGCCTCTGTTTATCTGAATAACATTTATATCCCCTGAGTAATCATGGTGTCATACAGTGATGGACCTTTGTCTGTGTATTTTTGGATGTGAAGTAACATCTACACATTTTATAAGTCTGTCATTATTTATGGACCTCATTGCCAAAGTATACTAGAACTCTTGGGAAAAGTAGAGAAATTTATGGAAGACAAATATCTATCAAAGGCTGTTAAATATGAAAATGAAGATGCAAGCTCAGTGTTAGGGAAGCCCATAAACTGCCAGCAGTTCTTCCCCCAGAGGATGGTCAGGCACTGAACAGGTTCCCCAGGGTCTGGTCACAGCCCAAAGGCTGCCAGAGCTCCAGGAGACTTTGGACAATGGTCCCAGGCAGAGGGTGGGATTGTTGGGGTGTCTGTGCAGGGCCAGAGGTTGGACTCGATGATCCTGATGGTACCTTCCAGCTTAGGATATTCTGTGATTCTATGAAATCAGCAGCAGAAATGGCAGCACACTGTGCAGTTTCCATGAAGCTCTTAACTTTTTCTGGCATTTTATTTTTGGACCAAAGTGTGTTAAAATTCACAATTTTTAATTTTTTTTTTTTTTTTGGAAGGCTTGGCCTGCTTTCCAGTGAGCTCTATTGGTTCTTGTTCATATCAGGTTGTGAATACAATCAGTACAGACTCAGTTCATCCAAAGTTCACTGGTGTTCTGGGTGGGAGCAGTCTGATGAGAAGGACTTGGTGATACCCTCAGGCTCACTCCTACAGGAGCTGGCCATTTTGTCCAGGAATCAGCTCAACATTTAAATCTGTGTTTAACAATTAGTTGGAGGCACCCATTTCATACTCCACATTAAGTGCATTGCTGGTTCAGGGCCAGCCTTTTCAACACCCACCTGTGGTCCTTCAGGAAGACTTTTTGACTACTAGCGTGTGGAGAGGAGCTCTGCATGAAAATTTCTGAAAATTTCAAATGATATGACCTTTTAGCATCAGACCTTTGGTCATGGGATACCTGCAATGTGCATTTTTAAATCTCAAATGCTAATTTCACTGCTTGCTCTTACATTCTTTACTGCCTGCATTAATTTTGGCCATGTCCTGATCTCCTATGCCACGTCTTGATTAAAATTACTCCTGCAGCTGAGAACTAGCAACCACTGCAGTAATGTATTTTCCACTGATCTGTTTTCTGCCCTTCTTTTACATGCTAGCAAATGAGGATTCGTTCTGGAAGGTATGTGTGGCAAAGTTGGTGTACTAGCAGGTATCTTTCTCATCACTGTGTATCCAGTACTTGCTTCTGATTATTGTAGTCTCTCTCGAGGTACCTAATTGCAGTGTTCTCTTCTCCCACTTAACTAAAGCTTTGACTGCCTAAGCTAGAATTTTAAAGAGATGAACTCCTGGGCTTTCACATGCAAGGCGTGAGTTTAGTCCCTTTGTTGACTCCACTGATTGAGAAATTGATAGTCCAGATTTATGAGTTTAATTTTATAAAATTAAATTTTATAAGAAAAATGAGTAACCATTCCTGTTCATAAAGATTAAATCTCCTTACATTGGGGTTAAAATTAAGATTCTTTGAGCAGGTAGTTTATAAAGAGCAATATTTTGGAGAGTGATTTTTTGACAAGACTGCTTTAGAATTCAAGACACAAGCCTGACTAAAACTGCCATGAAACTTTTAAATTACTATTCAAAAAAATGAAAACATGCTTTTGGAATTAAAACCCATAAAATTACTATTCTACTTCCTAGAAAAGTAGTAGGAATTTTTTTATTTTTTGTAATGATTCACAAGGCATGAGAGCTTCAGAATCAGTGTCTCCTTTACTAAAAATAGTAATAAATGTTGCCCCCAGATTAGCATAGCAATGTACTCCATGACATTGTAACTTTGTTGGTGAGTCTGAGTTCATGTTGTGTGTTGCTTTGGACAAAGCACTAATCAGCCTTGTTGGAGAAAGATTGTCAGAGCAAGTTTGAGCAGAGAGCAATTAGTGCCAGGGAGAAAGAGGCCAGAGGAGTTCTCAAAAGAGGGTTTATAGCCCAAGGCTGTGCTCCAGCCTCCTCTTTCCCCAGCTGCCCTTTGAGGCAGTGGGAATGAAACATGGAACTGTGCTTCTTCCCCAGAACCCTTTTATTGTTTTCTTCCTTCTGCTTTGGGCATGACAGACAAGTGATCCCCACATTAACTCTGATCCAGGACAGAGCCATGCATGGGGATACCTGTGTTGTAGTAACACACTGGCAAAGAAAAAAGTTACATAATTCCTATATCACAACCTGGCTACATTAATCGACTCTCTCCTGTGTTTGATTAGTTGGGTTTTATGTTTCTGTTTCAATTTATGTAACTTGCTTCTGGGTCATTTGTTGTTTGTATTTGTTGCTATCATATATCTATTATTTCTGTCTTCTGTGTCTGTCAGGGTCCTTTTGACCATTAGATTTCGTGTTTGAAGGAGCCTGTCTGCTGCAGTAGAGGCTTTGAATGCTGTGTAGAGAGAAGTTCTCAATGGATTGACTTTACCCAGGGCACCCTTCTCTTGCAGAACGAGATCCATCACGATGAGCACTGCACTGCTTGCAAGCGTGGAGCTAACTTGCAGCCCTGTGGCACATGTCCCAGAGCATATCACCTCAACTGCTTGGACCCACCCCTCAAAACTGCCCCCAAAGGGCTCTGGGTCTGCCCAAAGTGCCAACAGAAGGTAAGCTACATGGAGCATGGTGTACCAAGAAGGGAAAATGGGAGACACCTTGGATTTGTGTACCCCTAAACAAATCTAACCTATGGTCATAGCTCAGTGGACCACGTTAGATAAAGAAGTACTGAGAGGCTTTTAGTGCAGTTTGCAGTATTTATGTTTGGTATTTTTCACCATCCTAGAGTTAGAACATACAGGGAGTGCTGTAGCTTGCCTGTAAGTGCTAAGAACTGTCCTCTTAAGAAGTCTCTTCAGCTCCTTTGCTTACAGTAACACCACCAGCATGTAGCCAGACAAAAGAAAGTAAATCTTAGAGATGAGGGAGGCAGTGCAGAAGAAGACACTGTCCACCAGTTCACTGTTCACCAGTGGACCTGAAAAGTGTGAGGAGAAAACTCCTTTTCTTTAAATCACATTTGTTATACACATCTGTTCATCACAGTTATGTGAGATATGCTAAACTGTTGCTGTGAATAATGCTGATTACACAAGTAAGGAAAAAAATTATTAAAACACTAAAGTGTAGATTCTGTGCCACAGAGTTCCTTGTGCTTAGCCTAGAGATCACTTTTATGTTCTGAGACAAGGACCCAGGTTCTGGTCCTGCCAAACTGTGTGGCTGGAGCAAACATTAATGTGTGTTTTTTTGGAATCCTAACCATTTATTGTTTCCTGGGCTTATAGGTTTTAAAGAAAGATGACAGTGTGCCATGGACTGGAACTCTGGCTATTGTTCACTCCTATGTTACCCATAAAACAGGTAGGGATTAACTCAGCCACTGACAAGGGGTTCCCTGCTCATGGTAGCAATGCTCTTTGAGTCCTTAGCTGAAATATCAAAGTAGTGTTATAATGCTGCCAGGTCTGATGGTGTAGGTCATGGGGCCATAAGTGACTGGGGAGAGCAGGGTTTTTCTGTCCCCTTCCCCTTGGGAAGCTCCTTTGCTGCCTTCTCTCTGTAAGGAAGTTGAGAGTGATCTCTCAGGAGCTTCACCCTCCTGGAGGAAGCTGTCATCAAATGGTGCCTTCCCTGGAACAGTGCTGAAAACAGGATTTTGAGGCAGAATCATTGTGAGGCAGAGTCAGGCTAAGCAGAGCCATGTGGCTGGGTGTGTACACAATGCCAGACTGACAAATCCCTGACACACAGCAGCACCAGCTTCTCATTGTTTCACTGTTTTGTGGTGTGGCAGCCACTTGAGCCATATGCTGTGTGACAGCTATGCATTGAGCATTATTCTTTTTTAATTCCCTGTTGCACTCTTACAATAGGCTGTTTGGGGCATCAGATCATATTTGTAAGGGCCTTTATGGGGGTCTGGCACTCTTATAATTGTGCTTTTCTGCCAGGGTCACTAACTTGCCATTCCAAGGGGCTGGCCTCTTCCTAAATGCTGCTTTCTTGGAGACCTCCAGGATCACATGTAGTCTAAGGATTAGTTTTAATTCACCTTAAAGGTGCACTGTACCTTTTAGGCTGTCCTCCTCTGTGCTAACATGCACAGAATCCCAGAACCATTTAGGCTGGAAAAGACCTCAAGTTCATTGAGTCCAACCTGTAAGTGATCCCACCTTGTCAACCAGCCCAGAGCACTGAGTGCCATGTCCAGTTGTTCCATGGATACCTCCAGGGATGAGGACTCCACCACCTCCCTGGGCAGCCCCTTCCAATGCCCAATCACTCTTTTAGTGAAGAAATGCCTGCAAGCAGAAACTCCAAATTTCTTTGGCTGTACCTGCTGACAAAAGGCTAATGAGACCTTAAGTTCACCATGCAAAATACCTGCTTCTGCTTTCTGTCCTCAAATGCACAGCACATCCTTTTCTTAACCTCTGCATCCTTAATCTTATTGTTCCACAGTCAAAGAAGAAGAGAAGCGAAAGTTATTAAAGAGGAGCAGTGAGCTGAGGAGTGAGCATAGACAGTTAGAAGAAAAAGATCGACTTCTCAACAGTGCAGTGAAGGTAGGACGCCTGATGGGGACACACAGTCTCCTGAAGAGATGTTTATAAAGAATTTAAGCCCCCAAAAAATTGTATTTTGTGGCTAGAAAATGATTCAAGCTCCCAAGCAATAGATGTTCAAGTGTGAATGTGTTTCTCTCTGAGGAAGTACATGTGCATTTTCTTTATGCATGAAAGTAAGCCACTCTGGCAGGCAGAGGAGGAGAAATCACTTGAATTTCTGTGGCAAAACACACACAAACAAAACTCCACAAATAGCCATGGCTGCCTTCTTTGTAGTTGCATCCATAGCTCTGAGGTACCCAATGACCAAGGTACTTCCATCCTCTAGGTGAAAAGCTTAGTCACAAGTGTGTCCTCTGGTGGTAGCTGCCTCTCCATTAGCTCAAACCTCTTGATATTAAGTAGAAATAACCATCTTTACTGAATGTTGTAGCATCTCTCCATGACTGCACATGGACTATTTTGTCTCTCCAAACTCATATCAAAGCTAAATGTTGTCTGGAGGTGTCTTCCACACATATTGTGCTATGAGGAGCAGTCTCTGGCTCAATGGGCTGAATTCAAAGCCCAGTTCCTACCCTTCATGGCTGAAGGAACTACCTGGGGCTACCTCTGTCCTGAGAAGCAGCTGTTAGATTGCATGGCAGCCTGAATAAATATTTGTCACTTCCTTACTTGGAAAAATCCAAGTGGCAGCTGCAGGAGTGACTGATCACTGCTTGTTTTACCATTGCAGTTATCCAGAGGAGGCATGTTAAAATATTTATCATGTAAAACCGAGTGGAAGGAAAAGCAATAACTTATTGAAAGACATCACTGTATATTCCCTGTACATGTGTATAGCACTAATGGAACCACATGTGTGTGTAATAGGTAGGAGAGTGCAGTGGGCTGAGGAATTTGGAAAAAGAAAAGCTGTCAGGTGTGTGTCATGGCTGTCAAAATCAGTGGATTTCTACCTAAGCAGAATCAGGTTCTTCCAGTGGGCAACACTGTCTTATTTAAATGGTAATATCAGCCAATGATTGTATTTATTGGAAATGTATCCACTTGAAAGAAGAAAATATATTAAAGGTGTCCCACACAGAGCAATTTCATTCTGACATTTTAACAGAGATGTATATGAAAAAGAACACTCTCATACACCCCACAGCTGCAAGGTAAAAACAGAACATAATTTATCTTTCATCTGAAATTTCATCTCTCTAAACCAACGACTGAGCAGCTCCACACAGTTGCTTTCCAAGCAAGCTGATCTTCAAGAGAGCATTTCCCAATTCCTCGGGACTGGAGAATCCCACCCCTGGGCAGTCTGGACCATAGCCAGAGAGAAGCAATCTCAAAGAAGTAATCAGTCTGGTCAGAATCCTGGGTGCACTGGGAGAAAGAAAACAGGTTTCAGGTATTAGAGGCCCCTTTCATCTTGCAGACAGACTCAGGGTGTGGGTCTGTCCCTCACTGAAGAATGAGGTGCTGGATGCAGCAGGCCATGGCTGGGGAGGGAAAGGAGAATTACTGATTCTTCCTACCTCTTCTTGGAGAAATGGAAGATTTGGGATGCCTTTGTATAGCTCCTGTTCTCATACCCATTTGCATGGAGGTTTTTATTTCAAGAGATCACAGGGAGAAACTTGGCCAGCCTGAGGGATGAAAGCTGTCTTGTGAGTGCTCTCTTGTAACAGCTGTGTCTTGGAGCAAAGTTTTCTGCTGCTTAAATATTGATATTATGTTCAGTGAGATTAATGTGTCTTCACAGTGCCTATTCCCTGAAATGTGTGGCACACATGAAATGCATCCTGGTGAGGTTCACCCACCAAGCATTTGTCAGGGTTTTTTGGTAAGAGTGAGGGAGCTGAGTGGTGCCTTCTGTGTTTTCAGTAACACAGCTCTTGCACTCCTGTGCCAGAAGGTGTTCCTGCCAGGCTGTCTACAGGATGGAGTTGGAAACATCCTCCAGATGCATTTTGCCTGGGAAGAATCTTGTTCCCTCCCACAGCTGCTGCAATGTGTGCAGCATTGCTGATTGCTGCATTTGTTAAGCTGTTCTTTTGCTTTCCCCAAAGGAGAACATACTTCATTTGAGCAGAATGTGCACCCAAGGCACCAAAGGATGTTTGCAGAGATCTTTGACACCACTTTGAATGTGTTCTCAGTCTTTCCTTCTCTCTCCCCTTCTCTTTATTTGACAGAAATGCTTAGAGCTAAAAACCAGCCTGATGGCCCAGCAGAAAGGGACTCAGTCATCACTGGAACGTCTCAAAACCCTCATTAGACTGATACAAAATGAGCAGATGATTCAGGTTACCATGACTACCACCACCACCACCTCCCTGCTATCCATCCCCTGGATCAAACCCTCGGCTGCCTCTGCTGCCATGCACAAAGCTCTGCAGCCATCACAGGGGAACAACTGACAGCTCTGAGGAACGGGCCACCAGAAACTTTATGCACATGAGCAGAGCAGAGAGGAAACTGGAGCAGAGGACAGAGGAGCAATCTCAGTTTTGATACTTGCAGCCCAGTTTGTAGGTCACTGTGGCAGCACATTCCCACAGAGCGGGTTGTGCTGCACTTTTGTATCTGCCACGACCTTCAGTGCTTATGATGTTTTGTTTTGTTATGTTGGCCTTAATGCATTAATGACTGAGGATGAACTGGAAAAGCATGGCTGATAGAGGAAGCAGGATAGCCTTTTGTGGTGGCAGACAGGCTTTCTGTCCCACGGGGAGAGGAGTTAGTGAGGCATTAGAGAAGTAGTTGGGCTGAAAGCTACGTGTGTGGGGGGGAATCGGTGAGGTGACCAGGAACTGAGCTACTTAGCACTTGACATGGGTGTCAGAGGAGCAAGTTTGGCCCCATTGATTCAGGTGACCTGGATATGGGGTCTTTGTGACCTGAACAGCATCACGGACACTCACAGAGCCTTGGAAACAAAAGATCTTTTTTTTTCCGTATTATTAGACTTGAGAATTGCAGATATTTAAATAAAGAAACTGTATGAAGTTAGCATTTCTAGTAAAATATTGAAGTATTTTCATGCTGATGCATCTGTATATGCGTTCCAAAATATTTAAAAAATACGACTGTAAAACTCCTTTTGCAGGTCCTTTTTACTTATTTTGCTATCAGTGTATTTTTCTCATGGAGTTTTTGTGCAAGGTTTAGCATAACCATAACAGTGGATATCTTTGAGAGTTTGGGTTTCATTTTTTAAAGTGATTATTTTGTGGTTTTCTGTCTTTTTTTTTTAATTTTTGATTCTTTTTTAAACAAAAAAGCAAATAAATATTCTGGGGTTTGTTTCTTGTCAGTACAGATAATATGCCAAAAAATAACCTTTTTGTACTGCAGTTTTAAAGATATGCAACATGAATTTGATTTTTTTGTTGTTTTGTTTTGTTTGGGGCTTTTGGGTTTTTTTTTTTGTTGTTGTTGTTGTGGGTTTTTTTGGTTGCTTTGGTTTTTTTTTGGTTGGTTGGTTGGGGTTTTTTGTAGAAATATCTGCTGAAATGGTACAGGGAAAAAAAAAAACTGCCTCAAGGGGTTGTTTCTCAAACTGGAGACTCAAACACAAGACTTCTGGGAGAAGGACAGGGCATGGAAAATTAAAAATGTTTGGGAGGATTTTGTTTTTGGAAACTTGATTCCTTTTTAACATTTTACTGGATTTAGCACATTTGGGAAGCGTTAAGCATTAGCCTGAGAAAATGCCAGTGCACCTGCCTGTTTCTAGCTGTCTTCCTGGTTCTGCAAGTGCTGCCTGGCCCCAGAGCCCCGTGTCCTGCGGCTGCTGGGAAGGGGCTGATGGACACCCTGCTCTTCCCTGCTCACACTCCCTGTGCCATTGGCCCTGTCCCCGTGAGTTCTCCACCAATTAGCACAACAGGTTCTTATGGAAAGCCACCAGAGCAGGACACAAGGCTGGTCTCTCACATCAGCATATCACACGGTGCCGAATAGCCTCTTTTGTTTTTAATTTTAAAAAATGAAACGTGAGGGACTGGCTTTTTCTGTTGCCCAGAAAGCACATGGTCCCTTCAACCATTTTCACAACTCCGGGAGAAACTGTGCAGTACTATACAAATCTATTTTAATACACAACTCTCGATTGAACAAGATTTTTATATTCTTTTATTGATGAATAGAGTGAACTAAAACACAGTTCTTATACATTGGTTAATGTATGCAATTATGCATTCTGAGTGGCTTGCAATGTAGATGTTTTCAGGTTTCATAATTTTCTTTTCCTTCTCAGACAAATGAAAAATAAAGGAAAAATGTAGAAGGTTGAATATGTGAAGAATTTCTGAAAAACTGTCTTCAACTGTTAAAAGTAGTTATTTTGAAAAGGGGGCTGTCCAGTGGATAGTGTGCATAGAAAACAAAAGAAGTGTTTGTCCTAAATATGCCAATGTAGTTTTACTTCTTTATGATGCATTAAACTTGACTGACAATTTCCTGGCATTGTTGTGGTGGTCTGTGCTGCCCAGGGCCTGTTAGGGATCTCCTCCCTGGCCAGACTCTCCTGGGGTGGGAAGGAGGAAAGAAATTTCTCCACCACTGCATTCCATTTTCAAACTTAAGCCCTGCAAGAATGAGCACAACACTTTCTGCTTGCTTTCTATCAGGAAGGTGGCCTCTTCCTGAGGCCACTGTGTCTCCCAGGCAGAGGCATCCTGTCCAGTCCCTTGCTTACCTTCCCACCTCTTGGAATAATTGCCAGTCCACCAGACCCCTGGGCTTTCCTTTCACACCTGCACTCTCAGGTGCTCTTCAAATGTGTGGTGGCCCTATTTTGTAAAGTCATTATAAATCACTTTATAAAAAAGAAACAGGGAGAGAGGGCCCTAACAGGGGCTGGCTGGTTTCTGGCTGGTGGAAGGGATGGAACTTCTTCCCAATAAAATTAATCAAATTAAAGCAGAAGTCTGTCACAGCTGCATAAAGCCTGCCACACTGGCCAGAGCTTATGCAGAGCAGAAACAGGGTTGGGGTTTTCTTGTCAGGGGTAGGGAAAAGGGTTGGTTTTTTTGTGGTTTTTTTTTGGGTTTTTTTTGGTTTTTTTTTTTGTCTGGGAGTGTCTTGTCTTTGCCTTGTCTTCACCTCCTGGCAGTATTACCATTTCATTTCAGGCTGCAATAGGCAAGGGAACTCAGCACTGCACTCCTGCTTCCCCTACAGCTCAGCTGTCCTCTCCTCCCTCCCAGCCCCTGCTACATGGAAGGCAGGCTGATTTTTCCTAGAATTGCTTCCAGTATTAGAGGACACCTCTCCCCCATGCCAGAGAACTCTGCGAATCACGTTGTCCTCATCATCACCAGTCTGCCACCACCCTCACCTTTAAACTTAGTGCTGTGCTAACAGACAGGAGCCATTTACAGAGCTCTGCATGCTGCCTTGATAATTAATGCAGTTGAAAGAGAGTGCAGCCTTTAATCTTTGATAGTATTTTAAATTGAGGTTTTGGTGCAGATCTGCAGGAGCTACGCTAGCCTTGCTGTGGAACGGGCATTGTCTTTGAAAAGAATCAGGAGCTGCAGGGTTCCCAGGCTCCCCTCCCAAGTGAAAGTTATTTTCACAGCTATGCCAGACTTCACAGCTTCAGGGCCCTTTATTTTACTGTGACAGACTGTTTTCTGTGCACAGGACTTTTTCACATGCCATGAGTTATCCTGCAGAGGATCTGCTCTGCAAATAGCATTTGAATGAAGTGTGTTTTCTCCAAGGCTGTCACTTCTCTATTTGCACCTCTTCAAAGGTAATTTCACCTGTTCTTCCTCCTCACTGTCTCTTGTCCCTCAGAAATGAGAGGAAAAGGAACACTTCTCTCTGTTGGGAAGTAACACAGAGCAATGCCAGAATTGCATTTTTGTGTCAGGATCTCAGATGTCTCGAGGTTTCATACTCTCTAGCAAAAGAAGCCACTAGGACCTAAACACTCAGAAGTCAGGAAGCAAAGTCAAGACCACTCAATTATTTTTTTTTTTAGTATTTAGTTTACGATCAGAGCAGCAATTTTTGCAAGATGTTGCAAGATGATTTCACAATAACATCAGCCCAGCAAGCAGCTCCTCTCATGGCAGACTTCTGTGTAAGGATGGCAACACAAATTTCAGTAGCCTGATCAGGAGTTTATTCCACATGCCAAGCTGTTTTCTAGTAGTTTGATGGCCTATTAGGATCACTTAAACTTTAAGAAGAATGCATTTTAAACTGACACATACTTTTTGTTCTGTGTTCTGCATGTCATCTGTAGCTGGAAAGAAAGTCATTACGCTGAAATGGGTGGCAATAGGCACATCAGATAAAACTTTTACTCACCTTAATCAGGTTTATCCAACTGCAGCTTATTTTGCTTAGAAAATGAAGGCTGGCTTCTGAGATCAATCACTAGCAACTGATGATGCAAACAGAAAATACCACACTCCCCTGCTGTAAGCCACTTTAAAGTTCACCATAGTGAAGTTCACTAAAGAAGAATTGGGATTTTTCCCCTCCCTTATAAAAGCAAACAAAACCTAAATTGTCATACAGGAAAAAAGACTACAAAGCGTTCACAAGCTTGCTATAAAATATATTCTAGCCAGGGAGAAGGAAAAAAAAATACCACTGCCCTTTGAAGTTCTTTGCATTTGCTCTGGCAAATTGCAGATGATTGTTTGCTGCTTAAATGCAGCAGAAATACTGCACTCCAACCTTTGATTGAGCAATTACCACAGACATTTTAATTCACTTCTGCATTTCATCTTTGGGCTTTAAAGGCTGCAATATATCCCCTTTCCCCTCAATATTCCTGCTGGAAGCACAGCTGACTGGCAGCCCAGTTGCTGTTGACACTCTTCCAGTTGCTGAGGTGGAAACTTTGATCATCCCAGCGCTGGGGCTGTGCTGGTTCCACGTGGGAACAGCCCCATTTCCCTGCTGGTGTGGCCCTGTCCCCGCTGTGTTTGTGGTTACCCTGCCAGGCACGAGTGCTGCTGTGATGGCAGCTCAGCCAGAGGCTGCTGTGGCTCACTCCTTGCTCTCTGGAACTCTGCAGGCTTTACTTACCTCCCTCTCAGGGAGACAGAAGGGAAATGTAAGCAAAGCACAGGGTCCCAAGCCAGAACCATGGCCAAGGCCCTGAAAATCAGAGTGACATGAGAGTCATTATTTTCCATTGGAGGAGGACTGAAATAATAATTTAATTAGTGAGTCCAATATCTCTTTAAATACTATATTCTCTTTTCCCTCTCATTTTTCAAACTGGGATGCTTTGCTGCAGTGGCAGAAGGGAGAACAAGAGACACAGGCTCAGGAAGTGACTTTCTGTCCCTGCTACAGGTGAGTAAAAGCTCCAGGACTGGAGTGACAAGTGCCTGCAACAAGCCTTCCTTCTTCTGCAGCCAAGCATGGCAACCTTTCAGGTACCAAAGGAGTTGGGAGATCTTCACAAGCTCTCCCCAACATGAGAGTCCTGCTGCCAGTGTGCTCCATGCTGTTGAAAATCCAGGGCTGTGGTTTAAGCTGTAATTGCTGCAAAAGAAAGGATGCATCCTTCACCCTGATGGGCTTTCACATCCCTTCACATGAGACCTTCCCAGCTGTCTTCAGCTGCATCTTGGGCCCCTCTGCTTTGCCAAGGAAATGTTGTCTTAGCTAGAACTCCAAGGAGAATTAAGAAGGGGTGGCATTAGAAATAAATTCACAAAGCAGTGAATTGAGAAAAATGAAATTCTGGTGTGGATATTATGTTATGGTTTAAAGTGCACTTGCATAACTAAAGAGGTTTCTAGTGGTTTGAAACTGCATCATAAAAAAATATGTGCTGAACCATTGACTATTTGTTTCGTTCTTCTTATCTTCCTCCATTACATCACAAGTGAAGAAAATAAACAAAAAAATTAAACCAGATCCCAAATTCCACCCACATAGATGGGTAGGTGTTACTTCATTTGGGGGCTCATGCATCTGACCTTGCTGAGCTCTGGGAGGTTTCAGGCTGATGGAAATGCCTGATCCCAAGGACTTTTCACAAAATAAATTTTTCCTTTTTATTTTTTTAAATTTTTTTTAATCCTCCCATTTGTCCCATGGTCTCCTGGCAGCTGGAGACTGTGCTGGTTCCTTTTGCCCCAGCTGCCCTTCCCCTCTCCCTCTGCTGAGGGGCTCCAGGAGCCTCACCCAGCCAGTGTTGCCTGGAGGAGAGAGACACAGCCAGCCAAGTGAAGGCTGTGCAAATTCATCTGGGCTGAGATTTGATTTCACATCAGCCACGGGGTGAAACAGGCTTGGCACAGAGTGGCTGTAAAGCTGCTGGTTGGCAACAGCTGGACGTGAGCCCAGGTGGGCAAGGAGCCAAGGACACCTGGGCTGGATCAGGAATAACGTGTCC